CTAAAAATACCATTTTTTATGAGTAGGTACTAATATAAATGATGATAATGATATCAGTCGTTACTCTCCACTGTTGAATAAAAGCCTCCACTTTTATCTTGGTAGACTGTTTGCCAAACGCAGTTAGGCTTTGGTGGTATTTTAAGAGGGACGCTGCTACTCATCCTTCGACCATTTACATATATCCTTTAGTCGATTTTTACAACACACGAGAAAGGAAAAAGTGGCCTGTTCTATGCCGAGACCACAAGGCTGAGTACTAAAAAACTATTATATAAAATAAATTATAGTATTTATTACAAAAAAAGTACGAAACAAATAGTAATTTCTATTCAGGTTTAATTCCAATTAAACTTTTATCTAAAATTAAAGAACTAAAATACCCCAAAATAATTAATGGTTTTTGAAAGTATATTATATAAAAAATGAGTTCTTTATTCGTAGTTATCATTAAGCCTATATTTAACCCAGATGAAACGGAGAACTGTATGAAATTACATGTAATTTCATACAGTTCTCCGTTTCATCTTTTTAGTTCTCCTAAAATTTGTGAAATAATTCGTTTTTATTATTCAATGCATTATATTTTATTATAAATAACCCATTTTTTCATACAGTCCGAAGTATCGAGAATAAACATAAACGACTCTCAATATTTATTACAGTGTAAATTTTCAAGTAAGTTGAAGCCAATACAATTTTTTACATAAATATAGCTCACTAACTGTCGCAAATGCTCATAAATTTTATGTAGTCTCGCTACCCGAGACTGTTCTATGATTCGCGAATCATATATCTAATTTAGGGTGTGAAATAAAATTTATTTGCCAGGAATAATGTTGATAAGATATTACATTTTGTGGTGATGGCCATTATGTTTCGCAACATCAAATGGCGTGCAAATATTAGTCATTGAATTTACATATAATTATTTCTTAACAAATTATTATTTTTTGTAATCTTGATAAAAACAAAATGTCATCACCTACGCTTTACATTTACGTTTGAAATACGGATTATGTTAAATGAAAATATTGGTAATTGAATTTACATATAATTAATTCTAAACAATTTATTATTTTATGTAATTGTAATAAAAACAAAATAACATCAATTACTCTTTACACTTACGTTGAATAATGGAAAATAATAAATGCAAATATTGGTCATTTAATTTACATATTATTTACATATAATTAATTCTTAACTATTTATTATTTTATATAATTGTAATAGAAATAAAATGTCATCACTTACGCTTTACACTTACGTTTGAATGACTGATTATGTCAAATGCAAATATTAGTCATTTAATTTACATATAATTAATTCTTAACAATTTATTATTTTGTGTAATCGTAATAAGAACAAAAAACTACCACTTACTCTTTAGAATTACGTTTGAATGAGAGAAAATATCATTCAACATCACGTACGCCTTTTGAATTACGCACCACGAGTAACTGTGTGGTCCTGGCATAGAATGGACCACCCGCTCTTTTTATCAAGCGAATAATCGAGATGTCAGCAGCAGAGTCCATATTAAAACTTCATCAAAAGCTAACCTTGGTTGCTAATCAGCTTGCCAAGCAACTACCGGAAAACCCCCTTTGGGAGGTCTATGTTCAGCAGTGGACAGTTAACGGCTGTTATGATTGATGATCATGAGTAGCCAACAAAGTTGTTATATTTTTTTTTAAACCGAGTTTTATTTTTAGGGTGTTTTCAAAAGGACCTTTTTCTTTTCAAGTCTGAATTTTCTTTTATAAATATTCCACGCAATTACGTTGGATATTCTAAACCGATTTTCACAATTCTTTTTGTTAACGATAGGGTTTACCCCCGTTTTGGTTTCATTATAATTTTGTGACGATTGCTGTTTTTCTTTGCTGAACAAAAACCTGCTTGTTATGGTTGAGTAAAGTTTTAATTGTATCTCCTTCTTCCAATAAATGAATTTACATTGTTTTTGCGTTTAACTTTTGAATGTTATAAAATAATTTATTTATTTTTTCTTTATAAAATCAGTAATAGTTATTTTCTATCGTAACCAAACAATGTTAGATTATCATGTATAATTGTGTATAAAAATATTTAGTAAATCATTAAAAGAAAAATGAACCCTTTGTAAATAAATACATTGTACTTTTCCTAATGAATTCATCATGATGGGCTAACTGGCCTGTTTTCATTCTCATCTATCACCCTTCACTGGTGCTCCGCCAGCATATCCCGTTAGCGCAGGCGAGGTTACCATACCATTTTTACTCATAAAAAAAAAATACATTGTACTTAAATGGAAAATAATGCGATTAAATTGCGAAAGTTTGTACGATAGATGGATGAACAGATGAATAGATTGATGTTTGTTACTCTTTCACAATTATGAAACAATTTTGAATGAAATTTTGTACACTAGTACCTTATATCCTAACTTAGTATACAAAATACTTTATATATTGAATCCCGTGAGTGAAGTCGAGGCATGTAGCTAGTAAATTAATAATTTGATATTTGACACCATATTTACAAAATAACTTCCTGTATTTATTAGTAATCGAATATATTTAATTAATATTTACGTAAAAGCAAAATGTTATTAATAGAATTAAAGTATAAATGTTTTTGCTCAATTATTTTTTTCTTGATACTTTCGATATGGTAAAGCAAAAATAGAGTAGTATATAAATATATTCTTAATATAATATATTCTTGTTAGCTTCAATATAATTTTACTACTATTATAAATACGAAACTTTGTAAAGAAGTTTGAAGTTTGTCAGAAATTATTAAACAGATTTGAATGAAATTTGGTACATAAATAGGTATAACTTTGCATATTGTATGTTTTATCCACTGATACACATGAACGAAGCCCCGAAATATGCTATTAATATTACTAATAATATCAAGCGTATAATATTAATATAAAAAATTCTTCTTTAAATTTTTCTCTTAGTGATTTATGACTTTCCATGAAAAAAACCGCTGGCATTGAACGCTTTTGTAATAGAAACAAGGTAGATGTTGGCTGCATTACCCTATAATAATATTTTAGAGGATACTATACTATGAAAATACCTAAAATAAAGTAATTTTGCAGTCTCAATATTAAACCTGCGTACAGCATACGTCGCAGAACTCAACTTAGTTGCAAGGTTTTGAATTTGAGGACCCCACTGTGTTTTATTATCAGGAGTGATTCCAAGAAAGACAGTGGAATCTATAAAATTAAGAGGTTCGTTATTTAATTTTACAGTAGAACAGTTTATTACATTAACGTGGTTATTTCACAGAAATTTTCTTTTTTTAAGAATTTGAGATTGTTTTATAAATCGCAAAGGTCGTCAGTTCAAATTCCACTGACCATATAAATAAATACCTGCCTCATTTACAGAGGGCTTCATTAATAGACTTCATCGCGTGTCTTCCCACTTTCATAAACGGATATTAACTTCAGTTTATCACGTACTGATAACGATTACTTATGATGATTTCTTACGACATACGGATGTTTATTTGCGTATATTTGTATATTGCGCCAATTACTCTTTGTTTTTTTTTTTATCTATATCCTATACTCAAAGGTTGTCTGGAAGAGATTGCTTAAATACAATTCCGACTTTTGTACCACTTCACATTAAAAATTGTTATTTTTATATATGGTGCAAAATTTAAAATAAGTAAATAAATATTCATAAAATTTATTTTATTAATTTATTTTAATTTCTATTTCTGGTGCAATTGTGTAAGTTTTAAAATTGTAAAACTTTGCAGTTATGAGCAATTAAACACATCAATCTTTCTAACTTTCTTGTTGAATGAGAAGTTTAATTATTAGACAATTTTATTTGACGTGTAATAATAGTAATTTAGATATAATTCATTCATTTGAGAACTTGACTAGTCAGTTCAAATTATGTCATCAATATTCATGAACTGTCTTGTGTTACTTCGTGTGATGAATTGATTTGACAAGGCTACTTATATATACTATAGATACATACCTCAATCTTTAATCCACTCCCTTAAGTCTGTTATAAATATATCACAAGTATTATTTATTATTAATATATATTCAAAAATGCAACACACTGCGATTTTTATAAATAAGGCGGTTCATTGCCTTATCCACACTTCAACAACAACTTCCAACCTATTTTAACCATAGAAATGTTTTGTCTTTTTCTTTCGCACAAATTTCTCAATTTGAAATTCTTTAAGAAAATAATGTAATATTAAAAATAAGTTTGTAAAATGTTTTATTTTTTAATAAAGGAAAAAATACATATTTACTCTAAAAAAGTAACAAATCATGTGATTTTTTTTATGAATTGTGGAGATCCTGGAGAATATGGATTTACTATTACATTGAGACTTTCGTATTGCACTTGCAATATGACAACTACATGTACAGATTGCTTTCAAATCATTACGTCTCGGAGGTAGCTCTCTAGTTCGCAATAACTTATCACTTTCATATAAATATATAATGAAAGCTAAACTTCGTACTGCAGTCGTCTATTTGAGTTATTCAGTTCTGTTTCTGCTATTCAATAGCTCTATTTGCACGAATGTTTCAGTTGGACAAGGATATAACAGTAAAACAACTGGGTACGGAGGCATAACAAGTTAGCCATGCTAGCAATACACCTTGACAAGTCGACCTCCACTCGGTTCGCTCTGGAAACCTTCGTGGTTAATTCTTGTCGAATTTGTTATAATGGGTTAACAGACCTGCTTTTATCTTCACCCATCATCTCACACTGGCGCCTCGTCGATGTATACTAATAGCACAAATGGGGTTATTATCTTAACTCATTAAAAAAACTGTTTAGTCATGTCATGCTTATCACAGTATATTATATGATGCCTACATCTATAGGTGACTTTTACCACTGTCCATCAGGTGGGCCGCCAAATTGTCCGCCATTCCATGTTATATATATAAAACAACCTGAAATAAAATTTGATATTGTGATAAAATAATTCCCACAAAGTATACGTTTCAACAGGTATCGAGGAGCTCAGAGACTCAAGAGGAAATGCAGTGCACGGATGGCCGCGCTTGTCGTGTCGAACTCGAGTCGACCTCCCATCGCAGAGACCGCCTTTGCTTGCTAGCTGCCCGCGGTGTCCTCACAGCACGTATTATGACGGTAAATCTTTTTCAACAGTAATACAATCGGGCATACGGTCAGCCTTATGATAAACGGTCCAAAGGACCAAAGAGAGCACTTGTACAAAAGTCGTCTATGTAGAAACCCTTATTCTACTTGTGTCCCTGCCGTAAAGCAGCTGTGTTAGCACACCCATGTTCCGGTTTGAAAGGTGGCATATGCCAGTGAAATTAGAGGAAACGGAGTCACAATAACTTAATCCTCAGGATAATTCCTGAATTGCATGAGGGGTATTATGAGCATGAGGGGTATTATGAGCATGACAGTATATTATTTATAGAAGGAGACTTTGTACAAAAGTTGTCTGATTGGGCAACTTTGTTCCACTTATGTTTCTACCATGAAGTAGTTGTGTTTGCATGGCTGTGTTTTGATTTGGAGGGTGGAATATGGCAGTGATTGTACAGGTAATTAATCTGTATCCTGGTATAGAGGAATAACATCTTAGTTCTCAGAATCGACAACACATGAAGGGTATCATGTGTGACACAGTATACACTATTATATCCATAGTACTGTTCATTAGATTTAGAGAATTATTATTTTATCTAAAAGGATACTTACAATTAGTCTTATTGAAACTTCTTTATCGTCATCATTTTAGCCATTATTCGTCCACTGCTGTATATAGGCCCCTCCCATAGACTGCCATAAGAAACTGTCTTGAGCCACCTGCATCCACTGACTCCCTGCAATGCATTGAAACTTATTATTATTAAAATAGGTAGTAGTTTAATTTTCAAATCAAAATAACTGATTTTGCCATAATTGGAGTTAGTTTTCCATGGAACAAAAACTTAAAATATGAGTAAGTGGAAAAAAACAAGACAAAGCTCATTGCTCATTAGTTACTTTGCCATTTCGAATGTCTTTATTTCTTTACTAAACAATAACTATGCAAAGTTGATAGTGCTATTTATTTCAACTACGAAGCAGCTTGATTGCATAATTTTATTCAGATTAAATACTGAGATATGACAGTGGAATTACTAGGTACTGTAACTCAAGAACGTAATGTCACGACGATTGGCAACGCGTAAAGGATTACGTTTATTAAGCGTATTAAATAAGATTATATTTTACAAAAAAATCTACCTCAATTTTGGCAGTATCAGATATTTTGATATAAAAACCATTGCACGGATTATAAAACCAATTTATTGGTATATCGTTTTTAAATAAAAAAAAAGTATTTTCCAAATCGGTTTATGACTCGCGGAGTTACGAGGTAACGATAAAAAATAAAAAACCGAATAGAGAAGCTTGAAACCAACAGAATTTTTCAATTCTATTCACATACTCATACTTGTATACATATATATTCTTCAACTCTCTCTCAAATTGAATGTTTCAACTTGTTACTAATTTCGCTTACAGTATTTCTGTGATCAATTTAACAGAACTTGATTACATTCTCATTAAATTCTATTGAAGTAGACTATGTACTATATAGATATATAAATGATGTGTTATTTACTAATAATTTATTGAATTAATTAATTCATTTATTTGCTTATAAGATAAAAATATAACAATAGTAGCTTTTAACCGTGACTTCTTTCGTGTGACCGGAATATGTTTACTGACCGTGTTGAAAGTAATAAATGTCTTTTTCCATCATACGAGTATATAGTGCATGTATATCATATTTCATAGTAATTGATTAAGCAGTTAAGACACTAAGAGTAGTTTCCTCTACTGACAAGTAAAGTCACTTTAACAATTATAAATATTAGTAAATAAATAATTTTTTCAATTAATATTTTCTACTATTAAAAACATGATTTAAGCACATACATATTAATATAACATCTTGCTTTACAATTATTACTTTACAAGAATGAATGATAATGCCATCAGACAATATGTCCGCTCTATAGACATATTTTAATGTGTGCAAAAGTATAAATAAATAAATGAATAAATAAATAAACAAATAAATAAATAAATGTAATAAACAAAGAGTAAAATAACGTGCGAATGATCGCACTTGTCAAACTTAAATTATTTATAAGGAAGTTAGTCTTTCAAGGCATCATTAATTTTACATTTCACGAAATGAAAATTCTATAGCAGATGGCACAAACAGCGAAAAGTTAATAAGACTAAGTATATAAATTAGTTGGAATGTTCCAAAACAAATTTATCTCCTATACTGATATTTTCCTTGCATTACTCTTATTCATCAACATCTTTATTTAGACCATTGTTATTAATTGAATTTGAAAATAAGAAGCCTCTTTATTCGGTTATGTTTATTTATATTTGTTACCTTATAACTCTGTCAGTTGTTAATCGACATGGAAAATTCTTTTTTTTTATCTGAAAGAATATATAAAAGACATATAAGTATAGAATATCTAAAGGATGTGTAAATACGCATTAATTCTATAGATATTTTATCAAAATCGATTTAATAGTTTGCAAAGTTTAGTTTTTGAATTAAAGTAACTTTTTCACATTTGAAGTCTATTTTTTTGTGGATTACAATTTGTTTTTATTGTAATTTTTTCCCTATAAAAACTTATTAATTCAAAAATTCATGAATCTAAAGGAACTGAAAGGAGCTTGTTTGAATCGAAACATTTGGCTTTCCATTGTTTCTGCCTACTCTAATAAGAGACAGGCGTGACAGATATAAATGTATGTATATTACAATTAGGGTCTCTTGTACCAATATGATGGTTAAATGTGCTGTATTGGTATGGATGATAAATTTTTGTTTTTCACTATTCGACCGATATCTCTTTGGAGCGTGCTAATCGTTTGGAATTTACTATGTATTATTGTGACTTTAGTAATTCTTCTACAGTCTCAATTTATAAAACGCAATAGTGGATTCCAATCTACGCGATAACAAAAAAAATATTTGTCAATATAAACTTCCGAACAATTCTTTGGTGCCGGAAAACATTATTATTTGTTGTAAACTAGTAAAGATTTTGCCCCTTATTCCCCATCTTTTATTGCTTTGTGTCTTGTTTATTACTCGTGGGCGATTACTTTTTACACTGCTTTTTTCAATACTATATCTATGCTAAGAGCCAGGGGACTACAGATATCTTAAATCGTAGGATGTCGTTAATTTATATATAATAGTATCAACAATAATAACATTATGAACAATAAGGCAAGGGGAAGCACAAAAGATCCTGATGGCTCGACGTGCAACGGCTTAGCTGACCCCATATGCGAATAAAAGATATCTATACTATGTAAACCATTTCTATTCAATTGGTGAAAAATTTGTTATTTTAATGAAAAATTAAACTACTGAATCGATTTTGATAAAAGTTAAAAAAAAAAGTAAAACTGTAACAAACATAAAAATACAACCGAATTGAAAACCACCTACTTCTTGTTGTCGATGTAAAAGAAAAGGCTTTTCTTCTGCTAAGTCGGATTCAAATAGGTAATTTTTTTATTTTTTATTTGTTATCCGATTATTATTGAAAATATTTTTTACTCTATTAAACTTGTAACTAAGTTTACTTAAACACAGTTTTATATGTGACTTTTTGGTAGAATTTCATTGTATGTACTGTAACGATTAGTTTATTATAAGCTTTTTGGAATAGTACATTTTTATTATTATTTGTGAAAGTGAGTGTATTTGTTTGTTATATTATAGTGCCTTAACCGCTTAACCAATTACTATGAAATTTGGTATACTTATACACGTACTATATGGGATGGTGAAGGCTACTTTTTATCTCGGTCAATAAACATAATCCCGTCACGCGGACGAAGACGTAGGTAAAAGTTAGTATAATTATGATAAATTAATAACATGTCTGTTTATGTTTCAGCCTACATTCACGGACGCAAAGTGTAAATGAGGAAAAATATTGAATAAAAAAAAAACTAAAGTGCATAAGTGATTTATTAAAGTGTTATTAAGTGTTTAATTAAATTAATATATAATATATGAACGTGTAAACATCGAAGAGCTGTAAATAATTAAAATTGAAATTTAAAACAGTATTATAGTTAGGAATTAACTCATGTTTTTTAGGAATATGTTTGTTAATTCACTTACTATTTATAAATATATGTGTATATGTATTAAGTAACTAACAATTGATGTTAATAATGATGCTCAGATGACACTAGTTTGTAATTAATAATTAAATGTTTAATTTTAATACTTCGTTCAATAAACGTTGTATAAGTCAGTATTAAAATTGGCATAAGTTTTAATTTATTAAAAAAAAAACGGAAAATCGTTAAAGTATTTAAATTATTCTAATATAATTGTAACTTATTGTAAAGTTACCGCAAGTGTTTTTTTTTTTGTTTACACTTAATATCAAAGTGTAATCAAAAAGTAATTAAATTTTTTAAATATTTCGACAAAAATACAATTTATTTTATAATAATGTGGAGATTTATTTCAAGAATAATAAATATTACATTAGAAGAAAAAACATTGTTTACGAACAAATGTTGTTTGCTTCTATCATGGAAAAGAATAATTGGGGGAAAATTTTCAATAAAGACAATGTTATAAATCTGAATACATTTTTCGAGTTTAACACCGTGTAAATGATTTTTGCTTATTAGAGATGTAAAATACGGAGAATTTTATTCAGTTAATAATGTTACACACAATTTTCAGACTGTAGGAAAATTTTGAATATAATTTTATATTTAAAATAATGAATACGTGAATTTGTCACAAAAAAAAAACAACAGTATAACTTCTAAAGCCATTCCAAGTAATTTTCACAATATGTTTGACAGTTTATAATGGCCATATTTATTTTATATTATTGTCATAACGTTCATTATTACTCCTAATTTAACTGAATCAAATGACACTCTGTCTGATAAATCTCTAGTTAATTGATTTGAATTATTTTGTTTAAATCTGTTACAATTATTATGTAATAACACTTTCTTATACCACGGTAATTCCTTCTGGAATAACAACTTATATGTTATGTTACCAATACTTTTGTGCTGCCAACTAATGACTATTGAATAAAAAAAAAACTACTAAAGTGTGCCAGATAATTGGAACAAAAACTGTCTAAAATCATTAAGGGAATGGTTTTCGACTAAACGTTATCGCTCTTTAACTAAAAGCAATCTGTTTTAATAAAAGATTTTATTATAAATCCTCACCTCTTCTAGTTCTACATATAAAAATATTTCTTTTGACTGGTAGACTGACGGATTACTTAATAAACGTATAAATTTAGGTTATACGTTTATTAAGTAATCCGATAGATAGAGAAATTTGAAATATCGAATAAGAATAGATTATATAGGGATAACAGATTCAGTGCAAATTGGAGATGTCTAATATTTACATCTTAAATTTGTTCTTGGATATCCAAAACAGAAGATTGTGACACCTTCATTCTTATTTCCAAATAGTAATATTTATCTTTAAGAAAATTAAAAATTAATTTGTGTCGTATTCCACGCTTGTGATAAACCAATTTATCTTAAAAAATTATGGTTTGCAAAATAGTAAGAAAAATTATGATTTTTATCTAATGTCTAAGTCGTAATGTTTTTTGTGTTACAATTTTAATTTAATTTTTAATAAAATACTTATAATGGTAAAGGAATGTAACTAACAGAAAGTAGATTTTCGAAACGAAAGTAATTTTTTATGCATAATATTTATGCTTAAATCTTATCTTAGTAATATAAAATATTAACTATAAAATGTAATTGTATTGTTGAAATATTTAAAAAGAAAAACTAATGAGAGGAATCTTTAAAAATTAATACGAGGAAATTATGTCTGTCTCTAACTGTATGTTTGTTCCAGTTTTTTATGTTACAGTTTTCACAGTTGTATTTATAAAGGTTTAACTTAAAAATTGGTATATTTTTGATTTGGATAAGTTATCTACAAGTGGCCTATTTTATAGATTTTTTTACTTCTGAAATGCACGCGTACGAAGTAGTGAGCGAAAAGTTGGTTGTAAAATAAAATCTTACTCTAAAAACTGTACAAAGCTAAAGGTAAATTAAGACATAATAAATGTGATTGAAATAAAAAATTAATTTTATATTTCACTATTTTTTTTTTGTAAATTACTTACATAGAAGAAGCTAAACCAATAACCTCGGAACATTGAACCTAGACGTCACGGTTAAATAGTAGGGTTTTAACATCGATTCTAATTATGGTAATTTGCTATTTTGCATAAACGTTTATAGAATATTTAAAGAAGGGAATATCGTTTCTAAGTGTTCAGAAATGGGTACGTACGTTGTATATCAGTTATTTCAAAATATTTCGATATCTATAGATAGATATACCTATCATATACTTCTTTATTTCTTCTTCTTCTTTCTTTACCATCATAATGTAATCGTGTCGTTATCTTCCTACTTTTCCCCAAATCTATTAGGATTTTCTAATAATGACATCTGATAATGACGATGTTAATTCCTACTAGCAATTTACTCTATCAAGCCGATCTTTACGCGATTCTTTATGAAAATCATTCTAGTTAATTCTAGTGAAATTCGTCGTGAGCTAACAGACATACATTCATCCTTACCTATCATCTCTTACTGGTGCTCTGCCAGTGTATCCCAATAATGCAAATAGAGTTACCAGTCTATTTTCAGTCAGTAATTAAAATAATATATTTTTCTCATTCATTTATATCTTTTTACAGTTATCTGAATACTCCCTTTTAATGGTCATGTCATCATTCATAAATATCGTATCATATACTGAAATTTTAGAAATATTAAATATTATTGTTTTGGATTGTGTTATTATCAAAAGACCTTACTGAAACCAATTTGCGATTCTTAGATTTCAAACATCACTAACGATGTCCCAACGCGACCCTCATTTTTTGCCCATCTTGCTAGGTATTTGGATTATAATCAATGTCATTGACAAGTCACTATGTAATCTGTGACTTATTATTATCATTTAATATTGTTCAGGGCTTGAAGCTAAGAAGCTGATATTTTTTTTTATATTATTGATAAATTTTATAGCAACTTTCAAGAATATATTATATTAACTAAAATGCGGTACTATATATATATATATATATATATATATATATATATATATATATATATATATATATATATATATATATATATATATATATATATATATTTAAATTGCGGGTTAATTATAAAATATTGTATTAATTTATTATTTAAGTTCAATAGTTAATCAAGATAAATGATAAAGAACAACGATATTAATAAAAAAAAAAATACTCAATGCTGTATATAATATTTTATGGAATGGTTATTCCAATTTTGTCTTTAAGGTATAACGAATTAAAGTAAAATGTATTATTATTGTCTTATATTTAATTTTTGTATTACGGCTGTATTACATTTTATTTTTATAAATTGCCCGGTTTCAGCTTATGGCATCGTCAAAAGCCTATAAAAATATGTATAGTAATCTTGATGTACTGTCATGTGACGTTATACTTTATTTGCTAGTTTTAATATTAATTATGTACTATAAAATGTATAGAGTTGCTAGTCGGAAAAAAAAACCTCTGTTATGGGAGTTTGATGAACATTATTTTTTTGTAAAATAGTTACTGTGGAATTTTTAATAATGTTATAGAGATTGTTAACTGTTTGTATAAAATATGATATTTGTGAGAAAGTAAATTTTTTATTAATTAATTTAATGTATGTGGGAACAATTATGTCCTTGTGTATGATATAAAAAAAATACAGAGCGATGTAAGAGCTATTTTAATTTATTATTTAAGTAAATTATTACAAAATATTGCGATTAGACAAAAGAAAAGAGATAGAAATTATAAAATTCAAAAAAGTGTGAAATAATTTATTACGAAAAATACAAAAAGATCGATAAAGGTGTTCTAAATGTTGTAAGTCAGTGTTAAATTTTGTAAATAGTAAAAAAAAAAATAGAATTTATGTGATAAGCGTAACTGAAACATTTTTATAGTATAAATTGAAAAACTACCATAAAAACTATTTTTTGACCAAATAAAAACCGAATTCTTGACTTGACGTTTTATTTGAACCCTGAATAATATCATAAAGGTAAAATTTGAGCCTGTTGTTGACATGTTTCTTTTATTACACTCAACTACCAAATAGATTCGCTTGAAAGATGATAGAAAATTTAAAACATACAATTTCGCTGGTACTAGTTGTTTATTTTGTAAACAAACTTGGTATGTTTAAAATATGAATGAACACTTATAACTACAATTCGTAAACAACGAAGAAAATATAATAATTTTAAGAAAAAATACAAATTGAAAACGATAAAATGTCTCATTGAAGATGAAATTCACTAAAGCATTTTACACGTGGGAGTTATACTAAATTAAAGAAACCATAATTTAAAATTTTCATATAATATGTTCGATTTATTTGTGTATTTTCCAGAATACACGTTAAATAAAATAAAATTGAGAAATAAATATTGATTGTCACTAGTTATTTCCCGCGGTTTTTACCGCGTAAATCGAATTATAAGGTATCCAATGTGTTAAGTTAGGATACCCACTTGTGTACCAAATTTCATTCAAATACATTCAGCCGTGATTTAGTAAAAGAAATTTAAACATTGAAACATCTTTACCAACTTTAATATTTATGTTACTAGTAGAACGAGGAATATAGTGTAAATTCAGAATCATTATCCTTATATTCACTTTCCGAGACCCATGTTAGTGAAAGAAACATGGGTTGGATAGCAACAAAGAATTTCAAAGCTTCCATTATATTTTGAGAGTTGGATACATTATTTTAGGATGGTGCAATAGTTTGTGTTGTTTTTTACTCGTAACCAATGTTTATTTGCACATATATTAGTGTTGTGACGTCACATCACTTTTACGTGTATAATGAAAAATAAATTCACTAATGCAAAATTATTGAAAATTAAAAATTATATAAATTAAATACGATGTGTATATATGAACAGCGGGAATTTTATGATCTTATTATGTTAGTCATTTCTGACAATTGTTTCGACTTCATCTGAAAGTCTTCTTCAGGGGCGAATGGCTTTTTGCGTCAAGCCAACGTGACCATTTATTGTTTATGCCAGAGCGAGACATCTACAGAATTATATAATAAAAAAAAGGTTTTGTGCGGGAAAAGTACATTTTAAGTTATCTTTTGGTTTTGGGACATCGGAACAGACTGCCTGAAAGCGAGACTGTCCCACCCAAAGCGGGACATATGGTCACGTGTAGTCATAACGTTTCGTCTTGCACTGCA